GGGGGGGGCAAAAAAATGACGAAAAGCACAAAGGTCATTAAAGGTCGGACCTATACATTCGGATAAGAAGTCTGTCATCCTAATCGTGTTTCAGAACAGACTGTTGGAAACCAAATGCTAATGCATACTGCTTCACGAGCAGTTGAGTATTCCCAACTCCTGAAACGGCAACTCTATGAGAAGAGTAAAGCATCAAAAGTACTTCTGCAGGATGGATATCGCCACCAACGTGCGACTCAAACTTTAGAAGCTTCTAAGTACACATACCTTCAACTTTAATATCAAGCATCTTAGTCATGAGTCGTCTTGGCACAAAATGAAGAAATTTGCTCCCTCATTTCGCACTGCAGAATGTTTCATTTAAGACTTCAAGAAGTGGTAGAAACGCGATGTGGAACATTGTGAGAAGCATGCTGACGTATCGTTAGATGTCTACAACTGGCTCCCTTTACTTTAATATTCCACACACGCCGCTGTCGGTGGGCAGGATACGGGGGGTTAAATGAATCACTAACTAACGTACTTATTGCATTCCAAAGAATTCCTCGCCTTCGCAACGTCCACCAGGCCTGACCAATTTTTACGCAGCCAGAACTTAAAAAAAATATTTCACAAAATATAAGCATAGTTTTTAATACAAATGAAAGTGGCGTTAGCAAAACAGAAGGAATCAACAGTCCGGAAGTTTATTTACATTACCAACAGCATCGTTAGGAGATTGATTATAAAATTCGAAGTCATATGAAACAAATACGACGAGATTGAACGGAAAATTTGTATTATTCCAGAATCTGCTTGGAAGTAAGGTCAGGGGGCTGAGATTTTAACCCGAGACATCAAAAACACAAAGCTGGAGTATAAACCACTCGACCGTGACGTTAATAAAGCCAGTACAGAAATGCTTAAATTCTCAACAGAATTTGTAAAGGAGTCGAGTTGTTAAATTATGTATAAGCGGTATTACTCTGTTGAAGAGGCCGTATGTTTGTTGAGGGACCAAGCAATATGGCCGCACTTTCTTTTCACACATCAAAGCACTTCTTCATTTCGGTTTCTTTTCATTCGCTACCAAGCACAAGATACGCACCTCGCCTGAATACAGCCGGTAATTGAGGAATTAATAATTGAAGGCACAGTTGAGTGCGGAAGAAGAACGAGTACGTATGTAAATATTTAACAGCTGTACATAGCTCACGTTCCGAACCATAGAGGTCTCTGCCCACCGCAAGGATGCCAATCATCTAAGCCACAACTCCCCTCCTCACTTCTATTCAAGTCCTGCACTACAATTTGAAGCTAGAACTGATATGATGAACAAGACGCACTTAAGCCTTTAAGCGATCACAAGGCTTCACTGTGATTAATTCATTTTATTAGCCTATCCACTTTCTAAAATACACACAAATTTATATACAATCGTTTCACCAAATGGTTTGTATGGTTTTGAAATGCGGTATCCTACTTAAAGAAACAACAAAGTTAAAAACAGGTCAATTTTAGGAACAAGAATTGGAGTACGCTTACATTACAAAGGCAGGTCGCTGTTTCACTAATTTGATCCAATATCCAGCTGGGCCGTAAGTCGTTCTTGAACGAATGTGGTCCTATGGCAATGCTGCGTTAGGTCATTCTTGCACTAATGCATTGTTGATCAAGGATGCTTTTCAATAATGAATTAGGTGTCACTGCTGCGAAACAATGCAACCCTTTCGATCCATTATTACGCAATAAACGAAACCGCAGGTCCCCTTGTTGCTAAAAATGTGACAGTCAGATGCGAATGAGCCCATAATGTGTTCTTCGCTCACGCTGGAGCGTAAAGAACGCCTCAAAAGTAGACTAGCACATGCCACGTAATACCGCCAAGACAGTGAAATCAAAGTGGTGTAACACAAGTTGGAAATGTAGCTCGGATGGGGAAAACAATTATTTATAGACAATTTTGGTAAAACAAATCTTAAGAGCGACCATTTGGTGGGCTATATAAAGATGATTAGACTGCAATATTCAAAAAGTTTTCGTTGTCTAGGCTGTAAGGATTTTAATTGAACTGACGTGTTTCAGGATCGTGTCCGCTTGAGGTTTTGTGCTCATATACATATATATATAAAAAGACGAGAAGAAATTAACGCCGACGGATTAAGAACAAAAGAAAATCTTTATCCTGAGCCCGATTCACCTAATGTCCATTTTAATATTATCCACCGAACTACGCACACATGTTCCAAGTAATCTCTTCCAATCCGGTTTTCGAACCAAAATTTTGCTCGCAACTCTCATCTCTAAAACATAAATATGATAAAAATGCCATAAATGATAAAGAATCTGTAATTGAAAACAAGCTGACATTTACTTACCTTTGGATGGGCTCTCCTAGGGAAGGCAACTTTAGGGTCAATCTGAAAACAAGAAAATGGACAGATCAGAATCACTCACGTGCAATTATAATCTTACATAGTATTAAACTAAGGCATGCATTTGGCCGATCGTGAACTGCGGTTAACAATCTGTATACTTTGCTGCTTCGGACAATAGCCGGTAGTACAGAATCCATGGTTCAGGGCGGACTTAGTGGCCAATTTCAAGGAACATTTTAAATATTTGTTTATCAAAGTTTAATCACAATGTTGTAGGCCTGTGATCTGAACAGGGTATACGTTGCTATTTTCAAATTCTGGTCTCAAGTCAGATTGTGGAAATGGAACAGGCTAAATACCTCCAAAATAGCATCACAGTGTAAAAGTATTATTATTCCACCTATTCTATAGGGTATTTACTTCCATGTACCCGAGACAAAACTTGCCCCTAAGGTACATAGTGCAGTAGCTATTTCCGAAATACATTTTGTTTTTAATACGTGTTACATGTATTATATACTTTTACTGTTAGAGATGACTACATATTTTACGACATCGTCTTTCGAATGATGTAATCTGTCTCGATCTTCAGGGCTGAGTCTACAGGGCACAAAAACCCTGATATCAAACAACCGTCTTCCCAGTTGCCACTTTCCATGAGGATTTCTTATCAAAATTCTATATGCATTTCTTGTCTTACTCAACAAAACTCCTAATAGGCAACCTGTATATACAAAAGGAAATTTCTCATTACGTAATTTCCTAAATTCCCCACCCCTATCCCCCAAAAGTCAAAACTTTCCCGAGAGCTTTGTTTTGAAACACCTGTGATTTACGCAGTACATTTAAAGTTCCACGGTCATAAATATACATCCAGGTCGAGAACCCCAAATGTGAAACTACTGCAATCGACCTCAGCTTGCTTGGAGCCAGCAACGATCGTGAAGCGGATGAAATTTCAGCTGTTGTAACCCACTTCTTCCTGCCATTCTCTCTTCGGCCGGCTTAAGAATCTAACATTACACGTTCAGAAAAAATCGACATCACAAGGGCGTACTGATATTCTATCGCTGTTTCAACGAAGTGTGGAGACATACATTGCTTCGACGGTGGAAATTCACAACTGCCTGCCATGTAGGCAGCCTGCACATGTAATATACATAAATATACCTTCAAGACACTTCATTAATATTAAAGTCAAC